CCTTTTGTTTCCCTAATGAAGACACTGAAAAGTATCAAAAAAAGAATCTGAATGCTGAGGAGAGCAGGTGGAGCTATTATAGACTTGTACTGTTTGGGCTTCATGGTCTTGCATCCAGAGCAGTGGTCAGAAAATACTGGGGGCCAATCCCGAGGGCCACCTGTGTCTTCACATCTGCAAACTAAGAATGGTTCTTACATTTTTAAATGGTTGAAAAAGTCAGGAGAAGAAGAATATTTTGTGACCCATGAAAATAATATGAAATTCACATTTCCTTGGTCATAGTGTTGTGTAGGGGCCGGCCCTGTGGCCGAATGGTTAAGTTTGCTCGCTCCACTTTGGCAGCCCAAGGTTTTACCAATTCGAATCCTGGGCATGGACATGGCTTCGCTCGTCAGGCCATGCTGAGGCGGCATCCCACATGCCACAACTGGAAGGACCCACAACTAAAATGTATACAACTATGTACTGGGGGGCTTTGTGGAGAAAAAGGAAAAATAAAATCTTAAAAAAACAATTAAAGTTGTATAGGAACATGGTTGTGCTTACTTGTGGATGTATTATTTATGCTTGTTTCTGTGCTACAAGGGCAGAGCTGAGTAGTTGTGATAACAGAAACTATTTGGCAAAGTCTAAAATATTTATCATTTGCTTCTTTAAAGGAAAGGTTTGCCAAGTCCTGATATAGAGTTTTCTATTGTACCCTACCTTGTCCCCTGGTAATGGGCACAATGTGGATCAATGACAGGTGATATTTCAAAGTGAGGACCACTTTAAAAAATAGCTTTACCTAGGGCACTCTGAAATTTCTTACTTCACACCATCAAGGAGAAAATAAAAATGCCTTCTTCTTGGTCCCCTGCCCTCACTCCCAACAACTATCCCCACTGCCAGGGCAGAAAAGAGAGAAGGACACACTGTTTGCTCAATGGATCTTCTTTAGCAATCACGTGATCCCCTTGGAATGCCTTCCTGTCTGGGCATCACCTTACATTCAGTAAAAACCCAATCATGTGACACGTGCCCCCGCGAGTCACCCTTTACCTTCTATCTGATCACCCCTCTTCCCGCCCCAGGTCAAAGCTGGAGAACTTTTCTAACAACAGCAGGAAAACTGAGCTGACTACGCTCTCATTCGGGCAGTCTTTTGACAGTTCAATGGGTTTTTTTTTTCCATTTTGAAGAAATGGTTAGAAAATGTTTCTCTTCCCGAAGTGCTGTTATCTCAAGAGTACCAGGGAAAAATTCAGAGGGAACATCCCAGAATCCATACATTTCTATCCTACGTGACTCTGGAAAGTGGTATCATCAGCCAGCTTTTTGTCCCTTAAGGGTTTCAAACAAATATTTATTGGGAGCCTTCTATGTTCAAAGTCCCATGGTATCAACACTTGATTTTGTTACAGAATGGACAATGAGAGTGTGAGTCTGGTGCCATCCTGCTGTGGGTGGCGTTTACAGGGGGCTCACTGAGGCACCCTGGCCAAGAGGGCACCCCCCTCACCCTTTCCACCCCATCCCTGAGGAGGGAGCAGAGTGTGGAGGACCTGGGCTCAAGTTCAAGCCCCAAACCAGATATCTCACCACACGGCAGGGTACATGTGAACACTCTTCACTCTTCAGATGTAAAAAGCTGTAGAAATGCTAGCTGAGCTCACTACAACAGGTTTCTCACAAAGTGTTTGTCTTTTGAACACTCTTGTGTGTTCTCTTTAGAGTAAGATACACCTAAAGCAACAATGAAAAAGCAATCTGTTTGAGAATACGCAGCTGAATATGTATATGAAATATCTGTGAAAAGCAGTTCATTTTTCAAGCTTTTTCCAGGTTGGCATCAATTATATGAGCCTTCCTAACTGAAACAGGTTTTATTTAAAGGCACATTTATTCATTTGTAGTACATTTGATTATGTGGGTCTGGAAAATAAAGACTGTATTTCTATCCACCAGGAGAAACAAACTTTCTCACTGGAAATTATGAGCCCTGTTGAGCTCCACCTGCCTGAGGTCAGGGCCGCGGAAGTCTGCCCTTCCCACTCCCCCTCTTGTGGGGGCTCCTGTGAAAAAGAATCAAAAAGAGCTCTCATAGTCTTTCTTGAAAGTGTATCAGGAGCCAGCCCATATCCTGTGAGGTCTCCAAAGCGGGGTGCATATACTCTAGGGGGGAATATAAGATGATCCATCAGAATGTGGGTAGAAAATTCTAGAAAATCTATTTCTTTTAAATATTAATCTCATTTTATTGTTTGTTTTATCATATATGTACTATATTAATTGAGTAATATATGTATATAATTTACAAGTAAATTTTGTAGAAGTATACATGAGAAAAAATTTGGGGAAAAATTTAGTATACACCTCTGAGCACCATCTTTGGAGATTCTGATCTATTAAGTTAGAAGGAAGGACCAGGAACTTATTTTTTAACAACTAAAGTAATTCTGATGCTACAACCAGATTTAGGAACCACTGCTCTAAGGCCTTGAGAATTTCTGACCTAAGTAAAGAAGTTCATAAAGTTGACTTGTAAGTTAAGAGTTGATGAAGTTGGATGTGGGGGTCTAGGCAATGCTATTTACCTTAGGCTTAAGGAAGAATAAAGTAACTTTATTGGAAAAAGCTACATATGGCTCCTGGTTTCCAGTAAGGGACACTTATGTAAATACCTGAATTTAGTTGAGCAAATGTTTTCTTCACAATTTTTATGACATTAAACAGAGATGCTTAAGCCAAATCATAAATCTGTATCCTTCCAAAGACGGCAGTTCAGACTTCATCTCCATGCTCTCTCGTTGGCTTTGTGACTGTGCTTTGAGGACTCCACAGCTTGTGTTTAATTCACGTCCATAGCTTTTATACCCTAAATCCAGAAGTAAGGTAGCTGTCGTGAAAATCCATTCATGCCTGAAGTCCAGGGTGATGCTTCCGGGTATTTCCCTTAGAGTCAATATCGCAAAGATAACCCCCCAAAATAAGCTACGTAATAGTTAGGTTTTATGAGGCCCAGTTTTTGTAAAGAGCTGCATTTAAAGAAGCGTAGTCCACTGGGCCAAAAAATTAAAAGGAGCTGCAGTATCTCTCAAAATTACAAGTACACGTCCCCTAGACTTGCAAGGCCATTGCTAGGAACTTGTCTTACAGAAATACATGCGTACGAAATGACACTTTCACAAGAAAGACTGTTCATGGCAGCGCTATTTGTAATCACAAAAGAGCTGAGACAAGCTTGACTCCCTCAGAAATTAGATAAATGATAGTTTAATCATACAGGGGAGTACTCTGTGGCAGTAAAAAAAGAATAAGAAAGTTTTTATGTACTGATTTGGAAAGATCTTAAAGATATATTATTAAGTGAAAAAACAGAGAACAGAATAGTGTATGCTAATATGTATTTAGGGAAAAAAAAAGAAAAAGGAACATACACATTTCAGACAAAGGTCAGGTGCTGTCTTTTCCACCCGCTCTGTCTTCAGTGCCTGCTGGTGGTCCCTCCTCACAATGACCCCGTTTCCTCCTGTTATCTCATCTGGTCACATGCAGTAACGGCTTGCAACTATTGCTGGTCTCTGAGGTCAGTATTATTATCATCTCATCGAATAAATGAGGAAACTGAGGCACAGTGGTGAAGCCAGGATTTAAGCTCACATATTCTCACTTAAGCTCAGCACAACACTACTCAGAGATATTAAATGATGCTCAAAACATACATACTAAAATTGTGTGATAGATGCTATATACTTTAAGGGAAAGTAACACGGTACTAGGAGAGAATAGCACGAAAGTCATTATTTAGTTGGTGGGGGCGGAGGGTGGAGTCCAGGCAACACCTTTCTGAGAAAGCAACATTGCAGCTGACACCCACAGAAGGACGGTTGTTAGCATGGCTAGCATCTGGGTGAAGAATATCTTCGGCCTCTGCAGAAGGCCTTGAGGAGGGAAAGAGCTCAGTGTGCCCAGAAAGGAGGCAGGCGAGGGCAGCGTGGCTGGATTATAGCGTGTGGGGAAGAAGAGGGCATAGGGTGAGCCTGGAAAGGTGACAGGGACCACCCAGGGCCAGGGGACCCAGGTGAAAGAATGTGGCTTTTAAGAGCATTGGGGAGCCACTGGAGAGAAGCCATGTGATCCAGTTCATGTTTTACAAAGACCCTTTTGGCTGCAACATGACAACAGGATTTGGGTGGGATTGGGGAAAAAGGAATGGGCCATGGTGGAAGCTGAGGAATGAGCAGTTTATTTCAGGAGTTCTGGTCAGAGAAGATGGGATTGAACCATGATGCTGCGGTGGGATGGGAAGAAGTGGTCAGATTCCAGGTATATTTCAGAGGTAAAATCAGTGGGACTTGACAGCAGGTTGGAGGTGGGTGGTGAGAGAGGAGGAAGTGTCCAAATGTGTCCCTGGCATTATGTGCTACCAAACGGGCTCAGTCAGCTGCCGAATGTGCTTTCTGGATTAAGACCTGCCATATCTCCACCATCCTTACCACCAGCGCAGCCCAGCCCCAGCGTGGAGGCTGTGTTTCTTCTTAGACAGAAATGATATGAAGTGCTGGGCTAATATCACCGCATTACGGAGCAGGTAGACTCTCTGGGTCAGTAAATATTATTTTAATATTTTCTGTGGGTAAATGGATTTACAAGCGACTAGAAATGAGCCTATTGACTGTATTTATAAGTTGGAATTAGCTTTTTTTTTTTTTTTTAAAGATTGGCACCTGAGCTAACAACCTGTTGCCAATCTTCTTTTTTTTCTGCTTTTTCTCCCCAAATCCCCCCAGTACATAGCTGTATATTTTGGGTCCTTCCTGTTGTGGCATGTGGGATGCCGCCTCAGCATGGCCTGACAAGCGGTGCCATGTCTGTGCCCAGGATCCAAAGCGGTGAAACCGTGGGCCGCCAAAGCAGAGCACGCAAACTTAACCACTCTGCCAAGGGGCCAGCCCCTTGCAATTTGTTTTATAAAGAAAATTATACAAGGTTGACATCTAATTTGTGTTTCCCAGGCCTGTCAGAGAGTTTGCCATGCCAAGAGGAGCCAACACTTTTTGTTACTGTATAAAAGCAAATGTGATTGTCACTGGAGGTAAGAGGACAGTTCATGTTGCACAGAGATTTTCTACTTTGCAAACAGTGCTCTCTTTAATTAACATAGTTATCAAATTTTCATAAAGTTATAGAATTTTACTGCTGGGAAAACCTTTTAGAAAATTTTAAAATTTGTATAAAGTCACATCTCAGTCTTTTTCTTTGTGGCTTTGGATTTGATGTCACTCAGCCTGAAAATATGTGAAACAAATTTTATTATACTATTTTCTCATTCTTTTGTTTATATTTTGCTTTTAGTTCTCTAACTTGTCTAGAACTTACTTCAGTGTGTGACAGCATGAGTTCCTAGCCCGGGGCCCAAGTGTGGGCTTGAAAGGAGCCTTGGAGCCCCCAAGGTAGAATGACACATGTGTGTCTGTGTGCATTTTCTGGAGAGAAAGTCAAAATGTTACCAAATATTCAAAGGGTTCATGACCAAAAAGGTCAGGAGCCAGCGTTCTAGAGTTAACAGACAAGAGGGCCAAGGATAGAGCCTTGAAACATACCAACAGTTAAGAGGTAATCGGAGTGGGGGATAAAAACAAGGCCTTCTGCTGAGATGGAGGAGAAGCTGACCATCTCAGAAGCCTGAGGGGGAGGTAGAAGACGGAAATAATCTCTGAGCCTCGGGCTCCTGATCTATGATCTTGGGCTTCCATCCCAGTGTGATGGCTTTGAGCCTGGGCTCTGGAGTCAGACAGTCCAGGTGCAAATCCTGGCTCTCTTACTAGCAAGCTGTGTGGCCTTGGGCAGGTCATTTCACTCCTCTAAGCTTCAATCTCATCTGTAAAGTGGAGCTGATAATAGTACCTACTCACAAGGCTATTATCAGAATTAAACAAATCCAAAAAAAGTACTGGGCACAGAGTCTTGCACTTAATAAATCAATACAAACTCAATACAAACTAGCTAAGAATAATGCTAACAGAAACAAAAACACCTACTTCATATGCTGATATGTAAGATTAATTGAGATAATGTATGCCTGGCACACAATAAGTTCTCAATAAATGTTAATTCGATCCATTTACAACACATTGAAATTAAGTACAAAGATAGCTGCATCTCACTTCATGACTGGGTAATCTCCCCTGAGGGTATAAAATTAATTCTTTTTCAAGTACACTTGCATTTGAGGTTTATATTTAAACCTGTGCTCAGCTTTGGGCCTTCCATAACACTCAGTTAAAATTAGCCTATGATTCAAATATTACTTTAAAAAATTGTATAGTAGTCTCCTAGAAAGCAAAACAATGAAGACAATGCACTAGAAGTTAGAAGAGTTGAGTTTAGTCATAAGCTGGCCGCTAACCAAGTATGTGATTTCCAACTATCACTTAATCTCTCCTTGTCGCTCATTTTCTTTATCTGATAAAATGAGGAAGTTGGACTACGTAAATTCCAAGATCCCTTTGACCTTAAAATACTCTGATTCCATTGATTAAAGAAATTCCTGTTCATAGGGAGATAAACTAAAATGTCTTTTGGAGAATTTGGAACTCAGTTTACCAATTAGACGTTATTTAATACATAGTCACAGCTTTGTATATTCAGAAAAGCAAAGCATTAATTGGTCACGAACTTCTAAATTTCAACTAAGGTCATGAAGAAAGGAAAAGAAGGCATATGGATAAGAAGTCTGCAAAGTAGTATGTGGGAGTAGTGGCTTGGACTGGGAGCAAGTTTCCAGAAGCTTGGTAGTGATGATTCTTAGAACAAACAGGAATCCAAGCCTGTAAGCTGTACTAATTAAGGTTATCATTCCAAGAGCTCCGTACTGAGGTCTACACACATAGGGAAACAAATACTAAATTTAGATGTTTTCAAAAAAAGAAATGGAATGTTTGTATCAGAATTTCTTGATCGCCATTGCCCCTTCTTGAGTTGATGACAGTCTTGGATTATTACTTGCAATGGAAATGGGCATGTTTCCTCGTCTAAACCACACATCAAAAGGTGGTGGTGGGCACTTCAAGAAATGAGGGAAGGAAAGTGCAGTAGTGGGGCACAAGGAAGCTGCAAAATTCCCTGGGAATCAAATTGCAATGGATGCTGCACCGACCACTGTGTATCTTCAGTTAGGTAAAAAGAATAGCCTTCTAGCCTACTTCAACTCAAACTCTGCACATGAAATCCTTTGAAAAAGCAATACTTAAATATGTGACTAAAATGAGATTTGACTTCTAAAATCTGATTTTTCTAAAAATATACACTGTCATATTAATCTGATCGCCCTCCTTTGGACAGCCCTTTGTTCTCACACAAAAGAATACAAAACATAAGAATTGACCAACTTTCATATACTTTGTAATCTTAAGTATTTTAATCATTTCTAGAAAACAAAATCTGTTTGGTAAAGTTCTGGGAGTGAAACTACTTAGTGTTTATGGATGAAGGTGTTTGACTCTCGTTAACCTCAGTGCTCGTTAGCAGTATGACTGACAAGCAACTAACACTTTTCACCATGCATAACTTACTGAATTGTCACAGCTATGGAGCCTCTATTAGCAGAAAATGCAATTCCTCAATAACTGAAAACACGTTTTTCTCAGGAGAATACTTTTGTTGATTAGTAACTCAGCCAAGCACAGTGCTAAATGTACTGCATGTACCAGCTGATGACTCAAAATACACCATCAGCTTTGCGAGGCATAGTTGAATGTGTTAAATGTGCGGGCACATTTGATGAGCTTGAAAAATCAGAAGCTCTTGGAGAAAAAAAAAAAAAACCAAACTAGGACAAGGTATTTACAAAAAAAATTGAAAATTTCCTGAGCATTATTTTGGCGACTAACAAGAATTTTTTTACCTAATAGTTGTCTCTATTGGCCATTTTTTTTTTTTTTTTTTAAAGATTTTTTTATTTTTTCCTTTTTCTCCCCAAAGCCCCCCGGTACATAGTTGTGTATTCTTCGCTGTGGGTTCTTCTAGTTGTGGCATGTGGGACGCTGCCTCAGCGTGGTCTGATGAGCAGTGCCATGTCCGCGCCCAGGATTCGAACTAACGAAACACTGGGCCGCCTGCAGCGGAGCGCGCGAACTTAACCACTCGGCCACGGGGCAAGCCCTCTATTGGCCATTTTAAGACTTAAACTCCTAGTTTAGAAGGTCTAGTGTATAACAATAATTATCTGCCATCCAAGTCATCTCGGGGCTCTGCATGCATTTGTTCATATTTTATTCAACCGATATTTATTGAACAACCGCTATGGACCGGGCATTATGAACCTCATAATAATCAGGTTGTATTCTAACCTTCAAGAATTCAAAATCTAATGGTACAAATAAGACACGTTTATAGATAGCTATAATACAAAATGGAGCATCAGTCAACAAGTAAATAAGAATAATAATACAGATGAAATACTGTAGGTATTTAGAGCTTAGAATCATGTCCCTTTTTGCTCATTCTGGCTCCAAAAAAGCCACCACACAGACTATGTAAGGATTCCATTACTATCAACGAAAAGCAAGCAGAGCCAGAGGACCCTGGTGGTAGACAACAGGGAACCTCTGGAAGGTTGGGTTTCCTTCACCATGCACAAGGGACAAAGCTCTTAGTTTAAGAGGGCTGGACATTTCTCAGGGGGCAATCTTCCACTGCATCCTTTTTCATTGACACAAGTCATAGATTTTCTTCTGGGGAGAGCCTGGCCTCATCCTCCAGGAGTGATAATGGCCATTTCAGGTGATACCCTGGCCAACACTGTCTAGGACTATCTGTGGGCCTGAGGCTCAGGGTTCTGAACCCACCTGAGTAATGTGATACTTCTTGGCCACTGCCAGTGAAAAGCGAATACAGGCAAGATAGGGCATTATTGAAATTATTCAGTTTGAAACATGTAACTGATCATCTGGGGTTTTTCTCATTACCTTTGAAAGTTCCAGATTGCCCTCTGCTCACTGTAGTACTCTCTCCCTCCAGAGCACACAGCCATAAAACTTTAGAGTTGGAAGGAATCATGCAGATCAAAATTGCACAGATAAGGAAATTGAGGCCCCAGAAAAGAGAATGATTTGCCACAACCCATGCAACACATTAGCTGGGAGAACCGAGCACCAGTCAGTCCTCTTTGCTCCCAGCCCCCATCCTTCTGGGCCACAGTATCTGGTTCACTACAGGTGCACCCTCCCTTGCTTTCCTCGATGAACTGAGCCAGCTCATCTCATCAAGAGTGACGCACTTGACCAAGTGACTCATTCACTGGGATAAGAGCTTGCTGAAAGAAAGAAAATCCTATCTTTTATGTGTGGCTTTATTGAAAATCCTAGATTAACAAAAAAAAGGAAAGAAAATAAGTGGAAAATAACACAGAAACAAGGAATTAACCCCCTGTGAACCATCATATATTATAGTATCAAGTCCTATCTTCAGATTTCATATTCTTTCTATGAATACTTATGTTCCCTCTATATCTTTCATGCTTGCCTTATTGCTCTATTATATTATAAACTCTCAGTAGCAGGGACCACATTTCATACATCTGCGTATCAATTCCTCTCTCTCTTCCTGAAAAATTTTGTACAATCCATTGTCCATGGCAGGGACTTAGAAGAAGAATAATAGTAGTAGTAATAACAGTCAGCTCCAGTCCAGGAACTGTTCAGATTAGACGTGGATGGTCCCATTTAATCTCCATGATAAAGCTATGACATAAGTTCCGTTTATCCCCATTGTATAGATAAGGAAACTTAGATACAGAGAGGCGAAATGACTTACTCGAAGTCATAAAGCCGGTAAGTGATAGAGCCAGGTTTCAAATTAAGGCAGACTTTCTCAAAATATGTATTCTTAACCCCTTCATGGGTGACTCTACTAGCCACCTCATTTACCTAGCAAATACGTATTAAGCACTTACTATTTGTCAAACACTGCTCTAAATGAGAGATGTAAGGCTCACCAGACAATGGGTGAACAGATGTGTAAAGAGACAATTTTAATTGAATAAGATTCATACTATAAAAGAAATCTGAAGAAAACACCCCAAGAACATGGAAGAAGTCTTAACTCCTTCTGAGGCTGGGCAAGGTGATCAGGGAAGGCATTAGGGAGGAAATGTTGGAATTAAGTCTAAAAGAGTATAAGGTTTGGTCTTCTGAAAAAGTGGATTCTGGGCAGGGTCAATACTAGAATTTCTTTGTATCCTCAACATCTAGAAAAATGCCAAGTGTACAGTAATTTCTCAAGAAATTTTCCCTCTTATTCTTAATTAGGGTAACATGAAAGTTTTAAATTTGAGAAAATATCCCACTTACCCATTGACAATAGTCCTTAAAATATCTTGATTACTGTCTTGGTCAGCTCAGACTATACTAACAAAATACCCTAGGCTCAGGGGCTTAAACAACAGAAATTAATTTTCTCATAGTTCTAGAGGTTAGAAGTCCAAGATCAAGGTACCAGTATGGTCGATTTCTAATGAAGACAATCTTCCCAGCTTGTAGATGGCCGTCTTCTCACTATATCCTCACAGGGCAGGTAGAGAGCAAGAAAGACCATGCTCTTTGACGTCTCTTCTCATTAGGGCACTACTCTCATCATTAGGGCCCCGCTCTTATGACCTCATCTAAATCTAATGACCTTCCAAAGGCCCCGTCTCCAAACACCATCACATTAGAGGTTAGGGCCTCAACGTATGAATTTACGGGAGATACAATTCAATCCACAGCAGTTGCCTGAAAATTGAACTAAGAGTCAGCTGTACCCTGAGTTTTTTCAGCCCACCTCTAAAAACGCTTCAGGATGTGAGAACCTCTAGAATAAAACAGCTGGCCTTATCAAAGGAGTCAGAGGAACATTCAACAAAGATCCACATTTTCCCAGTCTTTTGTCACTTAGTTAAACCTCTGAGCTAGAAGCCATAGTCCCAACACTGAAGTTATTGAAGCCATTCAATAAATACTTTTTGAACTCCTACTATAAATGTATACCATTTTTATGGTTTCACACTAGAGATGCCATAATAAACAAGAAAAATCCTGCCTTCAAGGTACTTGGAGTCTACTGGATGGCTCAGTCAAATAAATAATCAATTATAAAAGATGACAGGGGGAGAGGGCACATAGGCAGGGGCACTAAGTTTTGAAGAATGTGAAGACATCCTGGAATATTTTTGGAGGGAGAGCTATGCTAAGAGTTGAAGGATGGATTGAGATACTCAAAGGCGAGAAAGAAAAAGGTAGAGAAAATGCTATGTTTCTTTTTCATGGGGCCCAACAAAATAATCATAGAATTATGGAACCCTCTATATCTATCACATTTACCTGGCTTACAAATATCCAACCAGCAAATCATCTAATTCTTCTTACCCAACTGGTTCTTTCAGTTTGGATAAGTTTATTTACTAAAAAATCCCATATATATCAGCAAATTCATCCTGCGGGCGGCCACAGGCATGCTACCTGATTAATTAAAATGACCATTTTGAATTTTAGGTTTTTTATATAGAAATTGTGAATTATAACTTAGACTACATATAAATTATAACTTAGGTTATAATGCAATTATACAATTCTTTTTTTTCTAGTGCCGTAAAGATTCTTGGTAATAAGTAAGATACTTAACAATGCATCACAGTATTCCTAATTGTGACGTCATTTTCTGAAATGTGGTTCTGGACAAATAACATTTAAATAATTAAATTAAGTTAAATCGAATTGAATCATTTAATTAAAATTGTTAAATCTTTAAGAGTTAGTTTCTTTCTTTTATGATATAAGAGAGTTGAATGATATAACTTCTAGGGTGCCAACTTGAAATTCTTTGATTATTTTTTTTAAAGATTTTATTTTTTTCCTTTTTCTCCCCAAAGCCCCCCCATACATAGTTGTATATTCTTTGTTGTGGGTCCCTCTAGTTGTGGCATGTGGGATGCCGCCTCAGCATGGTTTGATGAGCAGTGCCATGTCTGCACCCAGGATTCGAACTGACAAAACACTGGGCTGCCTGCAGCAGAGTGCGCGAACTTAACCACTCGACCATGGGGCCAGCCCCTAAATTCTTTGATATTTTTATGACTCAGCTTCCAGGATGACATTTAATTATTTGTGCAATAGAGAATCCAGTCTCTTAAAAATATCCTATATTTTGTAAACGATTATACATGGTTTAGATTACTTTTTTAAAGAGTACAATTAGGGGCCAGCCCAGTGGCACAGCAGTTAAGTGTGCACGTTCTGCTTCAGTGGCCTGGGGTTCACTGGTTCAGATCGCGGGTGTGGACGTGGCACGCTTAGCAAGCTACACTGTGGTAGGCATCCCACATATAAAGTAGAGGAAGATGAGCATGGATGTTAGCTCAGAGCTAGTCTTCCTCAGCAAAAAAAAAAAAAAAAAAAGAGGAGGATTGGCAGCAGATGTAAGCTCAGGGGTAGTCTTCCTTAAAAAAAAATACAATTAGATTACAACTACACATTAGTTCAGGTAACACTAGCTGCTACAACAAATAAACCCCAAAATGTATGACTCAAACACAATGGAAATGTATTTCTTCTCAGTCTTGTAAAATCTAAAATCAACCCTCATAGTTCACTAGCTAAAAGTCAGTAAGGTGACCACACCTAACTGCAAGGGAGTCTGGGAAATGTAGTCTAGCTGTGTACCCAGTAAGAGACAATATGGGTTTGGTGAACAGTTAGCCAGTCTTTATCATAAAACTGGATGTGTGCATGTACATAATAAATTTTTAATTAAATTTTAATTTTTAATATCATCTAAATTCTGATAGATCATGGGTAAAGAATATGGTCAAACGACTCACAGAGGAAGGAGATATGATAAGCAGATATACATGGGAGATAATACTCAACAGTATTAGCTATCATATAAATTAAAACAAAGTATCCTTTTATACCTATTAAAATGGCAAACACTTAAAATCATGATAATGTCCCTGTGCTGGCCAGAGTCTGATGAAACTGGTGTCATCATGTAGAGCTGATGGCCTTTGGATTTGGTACGACCATTTTGGAAAGCAACCTAATAATATGTTTTAAAATCATAACAATTTTGATACACCTTAATGCCGTGATCCCACTTTTGGGAATTTATCCTCAGTATGTAATCCAAAATACAATAATTATTTATTGTTGTGTTGCTGAATAAACTGCAAAACTAGAATATTCAGAACCATTTATCAATAGACAAATAGACAAAAACTAAAATGACAATTATGAAGGCATGGACCTGTGGTCTTCCATAAATGAAAAAGAAATAGTGGGTAGAAAAATGTACCTAGAAATATATCTAACATTTTTCTAAAGTTACATTAAATATATTTATTTAATCATATTTTATTTTATAATATCAAATATTCATATTTTATATTAATTATATTTAATTATATTTAATATAAAATTTATATTTTAAAAAGGGTACCAATTTCCATCTATAAGATGAATAAGTTCTGGGGAGCTAATGTCCAGTGTGGTGACTATAGTTAATAATACTGTATTGTAAAGTTGCAAAGAGAGTAGATCTTAAAAGTTCTCATGACACACCAAAAAAAGTTAACTATGTGAGGCGATAGATGTGTTACCTAACCTTATCGTGGTAATCATTTTGCAATATATACATAGATCAAATTATCACATGTACACCTTAAACTTACACAATATTATGTGTCAATTATATCTCAATAAAGCTAGAAAAAAAAGGAAGTGACTTTCCCTTCAATCTACATATAATAACAAAATGATAAATCTATTCTACAAAATTTTAGTTTGAGCTGTCTTTATATGCATTCAGTATAGTATGCCATGATTTCTTTGTAAAAATGCATTTTAAAGCAGTGATTTTTGTATTTTGGCAACATTTATAATATATTTTTTATGTGTATATCAAAGGTAAAAATTAGGAATACTGATTTTTTGTTGTTGAGAAATGGTAATCTTCCTAAGTACTTCCTGAAAATAATCTGAAATATTTAGATATGAATGGAAAAGTGTTATTCTTAACTCTGAAAATAAAAAGTCTCTTTGAAAGAGATAAAAAAAAAAGTTAGCAGTGATTACCTATAGGGAGCGGAAGTAGGGATTATGAGGGGAAAAAAGACATTTTTTACAAAAATTATACCCTCCATACTGTTTAAATCTTTTATCTTGTGCTCATATGATTTTAACAATTAAAAAGATTGCGTCTATGCTATGATGGTGGCTACATACAAATTACCTGTGCTTGTGGATATGTGCTAGAAGGGAAGATGGAAAAACGAAAACGCTTGATTTGTCATAATGGAAGAGGTTATGTGCAATTTTCCTCTTCCTTTGATTTCTTTTATTATTGTAATGTTTGCATAATTTAAGAACGTGAAAACAAAAGAACAGCTGCCTTAAATACTTTGTGGAAGTAAATAAAGTATAAATAATACATTAATGCATGAATGAGTAGGAAAGTATTGAATCAAGAAAAGGATTCGTAAAATATTTATAAGAATTCACATTTGTATGTGTAAATAAAATTACTACCAAACAGCCTCGACGAGAAGCAGCAGATCCAAAAACCAGGCTAGCCTCTTGGTAAGTCAATCATAGAATGCATCCTGGGAGAAACAGACTGTGTTGTGATATTAGAAGAAAGACAAGGATGCGATCGCGTGAGAGAGACTAAACTTTGACCACCGGTATCCCTGAGGAAATAATCTTCCCATGTCCTTCTTTTCAGGGGATGACAAGGTGCTGCGGTTGTGGCACCCCAGTATCAGCACCAAGCCAGTGGGGAAGCTTGTGGGGCACATGTTCAGCATCACCGAGATTGTGACAAATGAGAAAGATCAGCACGTCATTAGCCTTTCCTCTGCAAAGGTAACAAAAAGAAAACAACAAAAAGGAAGCAAAACAAACAATTTTCTCCCTGAAAATGAACTATTGGCAAATTTAGAACACATAGAATTTTTGAATGAAATAGCTGGTAGTCACTGAGAAAAATATTGTCAATGTGGAGAAGAAAATGATGAGCCACTCTTCTCTGTTTCTACTGATTATAGCATGTGAAAGAACATGTTTAAAGACAAAAGAGAAAGCATTGGGAAGAGAGCCAGTATTATCCTCAATAGTAAAACACAAGAGGCTTTCCCATTACAGACCGGAACATCACCATTAAAGACAGAAAAATAGAGATTTCTGTTATTATTGCTGTTATTAAACAGTGTTTTAAATGTTCTAACCAATGTAATAAAACAAGAAAAATGAGTTATGAATATTAGAAATAAGACTGAATTACAATATTTGCAAATAATGTAATTGCTTGAAAAATCAATAAAATCACCTTAAAATTTTTAGAAAAGATTAAGTTCAATAGGGTGACTGGTTATAATGATTTATAAAAGTAAATTTCTGTGTAACAGCAATTACCAGTTAGAAAAAAAAAAATGGTCAAAGGGATAGCACCCATAAGACCAAAAGCTTTCGAAATACTTAGAAATAAGCTTACCAAGCAATATTCACTATTAATACTATTAAGGTAACTATGAACTTTTTCTGAGGTACTTTTATTTAAGAACATGAACAGAGGGACACCCTATGTTCTTGCATTAAACTGTAAAAGATATTCTCCATCAAATTAAGCTGTATCTTTAATGCTATTCAGAATTATTTAAATATCAGTTTGCTAAGTTTAAACTTAATGTAAAAGTATTGATATATAAGAATATCCTAGAAACTTTGGAAAATATAATTATAAGATGGCACATTTCCTGGGGCTGGCCCCGTGGCCGAGTGGTTAAGTTCGCGCGCTCCGCTGCAGGCGGCCCAGTGTTTCGTTGGTTCGAATCCTGGGCGCGGACATGGCACTGCTCATCAAACCACGCTGAGGCAGCGTCTCACATGCCACAACTAGAAGGACCCACAACGAAGAATATACAACTATGTACCGGGGGGCTTTGGGGAGAAAAAGGAAAAAGTAAAAATCTTTAAAATAAGATGGCACATTCCCTGTCAGACATTAAAACATATTGTAAAGCCACAATAAATAAAACAGCAGTAATCGATACAGGAATAGTTACACACATCCGTGAAACAAAAGAGAAAATGCAAGAATTAGTTCAAGTATGTTGGCAAATTTTGTACGTAATAAAAGCAGCGTTTCAAATCTGTAGGCAAGGGATGAGTTGTTCATTAAATGTTGGGAAAACCAATTAACCATATAAGGAAAAGATATATAACAACATTATCACTCAATAACAAACAGCAAAATGCATTCCATATGGATTAAAGGTTTTAAACGTAAAGTACAAAACCAAAGAAATGCTAGAATTTTCCAGAAAATACAGGTGTATGTTCATATAGCCTCCGGGTATTACCTAAGCATAATACCTATGGCTAAAGGAAAATTAAATGTGACTACATAAACATTCAAATTCTGTAAATTATAATAATAGCTATCCTTTATCAAATGCTAACTATGTGCCAGGCACTGTGGTATATATTTTACACACACAACTCGGATGATGCTAATTACAACCCTATAAGGTAATTATCCCAATTTTGTACACACAAAGGAAAATGAGACCTAAATAAGTTGCACGAGGTCACATAGCTACCTAGTGGCTAAGTGTAGCTACTCCTCTAGCTGTTCCGACCCGGGACAGCCTCCCTAGACACAGAAAAAAGGATAAAGACAGCTAGCAGAGGGGGCAAAAATGCAACAGAAATGACAGAAACCGGAATAACATCCATAGACAAAATTTTAACAAATCAGTAGGGAAACAAAAGCGGGGGCAGAGAAGACAGACATGCTCACATAGTGTTGTTGGGGTAAAGCTGGCATAAGCCTTTTGGGCATTTATTCTAATAAAGTAATCAGATAAGTGCCAAAGATCTATGCAAAAGGATGTTCATTGCGCTATTGCTTATATTGGTTTAAGAAATAAGAAATAAAAAGGAAAGGAAAGAAGAAAGGAAAAAAAAGAAAGAACGAGGGAAGGGAAGGAGAGTGAGGAATTCAATGTCTAAAAATAAGGCTTTGATTCAGTACTTATTTATTTTCCAGTTACATTGAGATATAATTGGGGTGCAGCACTGTGTAAGTTTAAGGGGGATGGCACCATGATTCGACTTACATAGATTGTGAAGTGATTACCAAAGTAAGTTTAGTTAACATCCATCACCTCAGATATGTACAAAAAAAAAGAAAGAAAAATCTGGTTTTTCCCTGTGATAGAACTCAGGATCTACTCTCTCTTAACAACTTTCTTACATATCAGACAACGGTGTTAACGGTCATCATGTTGTTCATTACATCCTAGTACTTATTTATCCTATAAGTGGACGTTTGTACCTTTTGACCTCCTTCCTTCAAGGACCCCTCGCCCCCCTTCAGTAGTTTATGATAGATACCTTTATATAGCAGGGATATCATATAGACTTTCAACATTATATAGATGAATATTGATAAGAAAATATCCAAACAATATATTATGTGAAACATAGCGAAACAATAGGAAAGAAATTAATCCATTTTAAAATATATCTTTGTCTATCATATGTTATCAGGTATGATTAACGGCAAGATCATAGTGATTACCTGGGTGGCAAGATTGTGGACTTTTAAATTTTTTTCTTTTTCACATTTTTTTCTTTCTTTTTCTGGGTTTCTCTTTTTTTCTTTTTTCTCTTTTTCTTTTTCTTTCTTTGCTTATCTATTTTTTACAGTAAATAAGCTTTGCTTTTGTAATAAGGAAACTATTTTTAATTTTAATTAAATTTAATTGAAATTTTCTTAATTTTTAAAAAGGTACTGGAAAGACAGTGAAGGTTTTGAGACACTAAACTAAAACCTGTGATGAATTCTCCTCTAGGGAGTTAAATATATATATATATATATATAAAACTTTCTAGCGAAAGTTTAGGCCAACTTTCTACCAAAAGTTCATGCCCAGTGGTGAAGAGACAGAAGGGAGCAGCTTTCCAATTTCTTTTAAATGGAAGGAGTGTTAAGATGATGCTCGCTCAAGCATCCCAGCAGGTCCACTTGGGCAAACTACTTACTATCGTTCCACCCGGTCTCTTCTGTGTAAAACAGACTGGTATTTAGCCCACAGGGTTGTTATAAAGATTAAATGAGGTCATTTATTTACTTATTCAGCAGGCGTTTATTTCATGAGTGTCTACGGTGTGTTGAGGTACTGTTCTGGGTTCTGGAGAGAGAACATTGAACAAGGCAGACATGGCGCTTTTCGCAGGAAGCTCACATTCTAGGGGAAGAGAGAGACAAGCAAGCAAAGTAAGAAATTCGTAGGAAAACAGTATGATAAGTATTATAATGGACAGAAAACACAATAACGTGGTGTGATTGAAAATCACGTCTGAGGGGGTGACGTAAACGCCAAAGCCTGAATGACGGAGGAGGGGCCAGCCCCATGAAGAGCTGGGAAAAGAGCAATCTAGGCAGAAGGAACAGCAAACGAGGCACATACATGTTTTTGCTGAAGCTGTCATTATTATTGTCACTATCATTATTATTATTATTAATTACAGTACAAGTAACAGGTTTTACTCATCTAACATTCCTTCAAATTACTTCATATAAATTAGCTTTCATCACGTCAAGCTTTAATAAATCACTGGCTAGTCCTGTGCCTACTACACGCCTTTTCCCCAGGTTTTAAAACAGATTTTTATCCTTCCTCCTAGTTTTTGCAGCCTTTCCACCAGCATATTATTTTCTCCTGCAACTGTTAAAAATGTATTTCTCCTCCAACTGCTAAAATTGTATTTCTAGTCACAGAGCTCAAGTGTTTAACAGCTATGTCACAGCCACTGCTCCTGAAGAATTGACAAACATTGAAAACTGCAGAGAGAAATATAAACTTCACTTCCTTTCATTTCATTAACAAAACCAAGAAGAACAATGGTTGGCAACCATCTCAAGCACAACTCTGGCTAACAAGGGTTCTTTTTCTTTCTTTTTTTTTTTTCCTATGAGGAGGAGAGATATACACGCTTTGATGATTTATAACAGATTGCAAATGGGTGTTTAAAAGTTGCTATTTTTCTTAAATTTTCACTTTGGAAGTGATATGAAGGAAGCCGAGAAAAGCCGAAGTTTGACTAGGCTGTGGGTGTGTCAGAGCAAGAAGCAACGTCCTGAAATGAGGTGCCAGGTGGAGAAGGTTAGAGTGAGCCAGACAGGTTGCCAGCCAGGCCTGCAGGTTGGCTGGACTTCATCTCACCCATGACCCTGTCTAAGACATTGTCCTAGGTGAAGAGTAGGCTATGGTCTCGCTTCCAGGCAGCGTGGCTAAGAGAATGGCCTCTAAAATTGGGTACATCTGCCCTGGCTCTGCCAATTGAAGGTTGGGACCTTGGGCAAGTCACTTGAGATAGTTGAGGAGGAGAATAGAGTCCTTCCCTCATAGGGTTGATGTGAGGGTTACATGGGACAATGCAGCAAGCATGTAACCCAGTCCTCAATAAACATCAGCAATTATCAGAAAGGCCTGTGCTCTCTTCGCTCCCCAGTGGGGATGGGACTCGTGTTGACCTACCCACGTTTGTTGTGAACCTCTTTTGTGACCGCACAGGTGTAGACTTTGGATGTGGTCTATAGCACAGAATAGGTGAGGCTTTCTAAAACACCCACACTTCAGATGCTGCTCAGTCACCTATATTCTCCTGCCGCTGAGTAAAAGTCTCCACGAGGGTTAAACAAATCTTCTCTACTCTCCCATTGCCCCGACGCCACTCTCACTCTCCGCAAGCTACCTCACCTTCTACTAAACTGAGAATTTTGAGGTCACTTTATTGATTTCCCTCATTTCTACCTCAAAATGTTTCTGTATTTTTTTTTTACCTACTTTCACTTC